TAAACTAAGTAAAATACGTACGTAAAATAAGTACGTAAACTAAGTAAAATACTTATGGAAACATGAAAACACGTCACAAATGTCTGAAACGTAAAATAAAATAAGACGTGACACTGGTCTCCTGGATGAAAGTCCTGTGTTTGTTTGACCCTTCATATGTTGTACTACATCACCTGAGAGTGTAGTGTATACTACATACAGTATACTTCATACACTACGTGTATCGGATACGTTTACATTGCAGTCAGTACAGACTACTTGGCGTACGAGTAAGAACAGCATCCTTATTGCACAATGACTACCTGTGTTGGACGATGTATTGTGCCGCATATAATTGCGATAAAAGATTAAATTTTATTTGTAAAAATCACAATTTATCAATTATGCATTCAACATCCTCCGTCCCTCGCATCGGAACAGGAAAACTATTGTTGTGATTTTAAGACCATTTAATAATACCACTGATATCATTATTATATGATACATAATACTATAAATAAATAAGACATGAATTAATAAATCCAAACATTACAAAAAAGACTTAATACAAAGCAGAGTCATGTCTCCAATCTTTAGCTACGAGCAGATTTTGTAGAGGAAACGTAAAACGTGCAGAGAGTACATTAGTACATTAAAACACATCGTGGCTTATTGTGTGTTTCTGTTGAATCTCGTTCAATAGACGTTGTTTTTAGCAGCCACTGGTTTCAGTCACTTCTATTGAGCTCGTAAGCCAGAAACCGAACCAATCACTGATCCAGGACGCCATGAGTCCAGCACCGGGGATCCCTGAGGTACTTGAGCTTTCACCACAGGCGTGTTATTAACTCTGTTGTTTATCTTTGATGAGATGTTTCTGCAATGATGTGTGTGTGTGTGTGTGTTGGGGATTGGTGGAGAGAGAGGGGAAAGAGAGAGGGAATGTTTTCATCCTCAGTTCACTTTATGCTGTTTTTTGCAGTTCTATCGGTTATTCGGGTTTATCACAAGTATCGTTGTAAACGATATTTGGGGGAGATCAGCTGCTACACGACAACAACCGTATGGATTTACTGTCACACGTCCGTCAGCCATCAGTGACCGGGAGGATGACGTATGAAAAATGTCCTGAAATCACAAATGAATTTACATTTTGAATTACTTTGTCGCTCTATAAGTATAAGTATATATCAGCACATCTGCTGGTCTGCGTCGGTGGATGAAAGCACACGTTGACACTGTTTTTGGAATTAATCTCACTGCCAGGAGGGAAAACAAAATGTATGTAGAGAACTACTTAAATCAACATGAATGTCCACCTGCTAGCTGGTAGCTAGCTCGCTACGATGGTTAAACATATAGTGTGGACGTGTGTCTACCCCTCTAGCAGCGAGAGTAACTACAGAAACACACACTGGGAATATAAATGGTTCCTGAAAATCATTTCACCTTAAAATCTACTTTTTTTTAAGGCTTGAATACTGCGAAGCAAAGTAGTCACACTTTCACTCTAAAGGAAGACCTGACCTGATCTCAGACCAGCAGCTCCTACTGCAGGTTGTTTAAGGTCGCCGGCAGTTCAGCTGCTGTTTGCACACGAGTTAGCAGCC